AGAGAGAGAGAGAGAGAGAGAGAGAGAGAGAGAGAGAGAGAGAGAGACCAAGAGGATGAGAGAGAGAACAAGAGAGAGATTGAGACTGAGAGTGAGAGAATGAGAGAGAGAGAGAATGAGAGAGAGAGAATGAGAGACAAAGAGACAGACAGAGAGACTGAGAGAGAGAATGAGAAAGAGAGAGAATGAGAGAGAGAGAGAGAGAGAGAGAGAGAGAGAGAGAGAGAGAGAATGACAGAACCCAACACTTACACCCACATTGCTGTCCTTTCTGTGAGGGGCACCTTGGTGCATACATCAGCTCTCTCTCCATTCCCTGACGTTCTCCTTAGCCTCCTCAGGCAAGAGCCATCAGAATGACGGACCTGGCAGACAGAGCAGCAAGTCTGAGGGAGGAGGACAGGGCTATTAATTCAAGGAGCCATGAATTCTAGTGGGCACTGGGGAATCATGGTCCTTGATCCTTAGGATTCTTGGTCTGTATGGGCACCACATATCGAAGGGGACAACACAAAGACATCTGAAGTCAGGGACCCAAGGGCAGTCAGAGCCCAGAGCTCTGCCTGGTGAGACTAAAGGCAGTACTACACAGGGAACGACACCGAGGCCACAAAGTACAGGAACCGGAGGGCCCAGCGCTTGGCTGCCATGGAGGCCATCCTGTGGGACGAGCAGAAGGGTGCCTGGTTCGACTACGACTTGGAGAAAGGGAAGAAGAACCTGGAGTTTTATCCCTCCAACCTCACCCCACTCTGGGCTGGCTGCTTCTCAGACCCTAGTGTTGCTGACAAGGCTCTGAAATACTTGGAGGTGAGGGGACAGTGGGCAGGGGATAGTGGGCAGGCCTGGCATCCTGGAGGCAGGACCCTCCCTTCCCTGCAAGTCTCACTGAGGCCACTGGGAGTAGCTGTGAGGCAGGATGAGAAGGGTCAGGAGGGTCAGATCTGCCTTCCCTGCGGGCCCAGGGTCCTTAGCTCACGGTCACATCAATGTCTGGAACCTTCTAGGACAGCAAGATCTTGACCTACCAGTATGGGATCCCAACCTCTCTTCGTAACACAGGCCAGCAGTGGGACTTCCCCAATGCCTGGGCCCCACTGCAGGACCTGGTCATTAGAGGTATGAAATGGGTTGATACACCCATTCTACTTGTCTGGAAGACCCACCCTCCTTTCCTTCACACCAACACCAGGCCCTGGATTAAGCACATGGGGTCCACGGGTCCAGAAAGGAGACCTGAGGTCCAAGATCTTCTTCCTACCCTGGGGGAGAGTAAGGCTTTTCTGCCCAGAATGAGGTCTCTGAATACTCAGGCCTTATCTGGGGTGGGGTCTAGGTTTGGCCAAGTCAGCTTCCCCCCGGACTCAGGAGGTGGCTTTCCAGCTGGCCCAGAATTGGATCAAAACCAACTTCAAAGTCTACTCCCAAAATTCGGCCATGTATGAGAAGGTGAGCTGGCTGGGGTATTCGTCTGTCTTCAGGCTCTCATTCCATGGTTGAAGCGGGAATTGTCAGACTTTGCCAGGCCTAAGACAGAACAAGCCAGTACAGTGGCCCCCTGGTGGCCATCCTTGGGCACTGCAGGAGTCCGAGCAGTAGCTTGGCACATCTTTTCCTTCCGAGGCTGTTACTCTCTAGCTAGGGTGGTCTGGCTTAGGGGCAGTACCCACTTATAATACTCCCGTGTTTGTCCCCAGTATGACATCAGCAACGGTGGACATCCAGGCGGAGGAGGGGAGTATGAAGTTCAGGTGAGCAAGCTAGGGTGAGCTGATCCAGTTGCAGGCAGCTCCTGGGATCTGCTGTCCCAGAACACAGACGTCCCCCTTAGGTCTGAGATGCCCAGTATGTGGGCCTATGGGAGAGATTCTGAGTGATAATCATTGGTGCCCCTGGGGTTAGAAACCCTGGGAAGAGGAGATCCCCCAAACAGGGCTTGAGAGCCTCAGTAATCTGGCCCTTCTGTCCTGGCCTCTCTCCAGGAAGGATTTGGCTGGACGAACGGACTGGCCCTGATGCTTCTGGACCGATATGGTGACCAGCTGACTTCAGGGACCCAGTTAGCTTTCCTGGGACCCCACTGCCTAGTAGCTTCTCTTTTTCTCAGTCTTCTGCTACAGTGACAAGGACAAGCATGGATTCGCTGCCTGTGCTTTCTCCCCTGGCCCCAGCTCATGGTCCATTAAACGCCTGCTCCCCGCCTCATCCCCCCATCCCCCTCCCTTCTTCCTCATCCTCTCTGCCCCCCTTCACAGTGTACTGAGCCAAGAAGTGACCAAGAGGTCAAGACTGTAATTTTCACTAGGGCGGAAACTGAACCCTGGTATCTAAAGTGTCCCATCAGGTACCACATACAGCCCAGACTTCCACACTCACGTACATAGTCAAAATGCTTTTATTGTTCTGCTGAAATGCTTACAAATACTGCAAAACACCCAGCCAGGCCCAGCAACCAAAGGCCCAGTGCTGGGGAGGGCAGGGAAGGTGGCTTAGTGTTAAGGCGTAAGGCTGAGACCAGCCAGCTGGAGACTAGATCCTCCCATTCTCCTGAAACTGAAGGGAGGTTACCACAGTCCAGGGCCTCTGCTTCTTCCCGCCCCACCCCCAACTCCGGCTTCTTTTCAGGCACTCTGAGTTACCCTTGTTCCTTACTGAGAACTAGTCCTGTCAGAATGGGAGGGCGGGCCTCTTAGCTTCCTCTCCCCTCAGTGATGCTGTTCCTCTGGTCTCGGATCCCCGGACATCATCCCTTCTGGCTCTAAGCAAGGCACAGTAAAAGGGAGAGGGCTGGGCTGGGGGCTGGAGACACACTGCAGCAGGGAGGAATTCCATCTTCCCCCACCATGTGACATGCCCCCAGGCCTGGGCTGGAGAGATGATGGCACATACCCTCATGTGGCCCACAGCTGAAGCAGTGGGCAGAGCCACAGAATGGCCATGGCAATTAGTGTGTAACCATGGTGAGGAAGCAGTCACCATGGAGACAAAGATGATGGGGCTGGACCTCGAGAATGACACTTGAGGTCTCTGGTCCTTGAGCTGAGTAGTGGAAAGTGGGAGGTGAGAGGAGGAGGAGGCAGACCAGGGGCAGGGGAGTGCAGGCCTGACCTGCTCTACACACGCTCTGCTCAGGACCCCCCCCCCCAGGTCCCTGCAGAGGGGATGAGATGACAAGAGGATCTTTGGCAGATTCCAGTACCATAATTTGTCCTTTACGAGAGAAAACAAGCTAGGGTGCGTGGGGGCCAGGACAGAGCTGAGAGTGCAGCTCGGGTACACTTCTTCAGTCTGCTGGACCCAGGAGGCAACTTCCTTTCCTCTCTGTTGGCTCCTTAGGGACCGAAGCCCGATTCCCAAGCACCAAACTCCTCATAAAACAATTTGTCTTCTTGCACAAGAGCCCTGGGGTACTCAACTACATCCTGAACCTTTGAGGCCCCGTGTCCAATGTGCCACTGTCTCCAGGGACAAGCAGAGCAGCAAGTGGCAGGGCATAGAGTCCTGGGGCTGACCTGGGGAACCCAGGAGGTGCCTGGTAGTTAGTTCATGAATTGAGTGTAGCCCTCAGCTCCCGTGACAATGACATCCATCCAGATACGCATGGCCTCTGCAGATGGGGCTACCATGTAGTACAGCCGGTCGTGGGTCTTCACACAGAAGGTGAGGGCCGGATTTGGACTCTGGAAGGCAAGACAGGAAGTGCTGAGATAGAACTCCATGCCTAGAACGTTTTTCACCTGCCTAGTCTGAATTTCTCCTCGAAGTCCCCAGGAAGCCCTGAATTTAAGGCTGAGTTTCAAACAGGCCAAACCCTGGTCCTCAAGGGTCCAGAGGCTTGCAGTACAAGACTCTAAACCCTCACAACTGCAACAGGGACATACCTCAGTTCCAAAGTTAATACAAGAGAATCTGTCACAAGGGTTGCCCCAATGGGAACCAGATTCTCCTCTAAGCCAGGAAGGGGCAGGAGAAGGCTGTTAAGTAGGACAGTGGCCCAGACCCCAGAGGGGCAGAGGTCAGGGTTAGGTGAGATCTGAGGGCTAGCAAGAGAAAGGGCAACTTGCACAAGGCTAGCCGGCTCAGCCTCCACGGTCACCTTTCACCAATCCCTCCTCGTCAGACTAGACTCTGCTCTCCCCCAGCGACCCTGAAGCTCCCGTCTGTACTGACCCTGCCTGGGGGGGTGACACCAGCTGTCCTGGCCGGAGAGGAAGGCAACAAGTAGGCTTCAATTCACAGGAGCTCCTTGCTCCCTCCTCTCTGGCCTGAGACAAGTTAGAGGGACGGAAGGAGTCAGAGGTCAGGGGCCAAAGGGCACGGGAACTGTTAATATAAGGAGTTCTGGTTATTGGCACGTGGGGTTAGGGGTACCTCAGTCACCATGGTGAAGTGGAAAAACCTTTTCTGGGAGGGGGAGAGGAAGAAAGGAAGAGACAAATAGTAAAGAGAGGGAACATGAAGCAGAGCCAGAGCCTGGGCAGAGGACAGGCTCGAAGCCTCTGTGCCCAGAACAACACACGACCCCCCTTCCTGGGCTGTCCCCAGGAAGTGGCTATTCCTGCAGCCACACTCTGGCCCTCCCTGGCTCACCTTGGCTGCACTGCGCAGGTGGTCGTAGTACACTTCTTCAATGGCCTGGAAGTAGATGACCCCCTTCAGCTTCGTCTCATGTTTGTCTGCAAAGGAAGGAGGGGGTGAGCTGAGCCGGACACAGCACGGAGTGTCTGAGCCCACTTCCTCATCTGGGGAATGGCTTACAGGACTCCAAAACGGAGTCTAAGGGGGATGATGTGAGTCAGAGATGCGATCCTCCATAAGAGAAAACTGCTGGGTCTGTGACAGCTGGACACAAAGCTGGTGAGACTTCTAAGGTGACCACATTGATTAAAAGGAGGCACCCGGCATCCTAGCCATTTGCCGAGGCTGAGGCAGGACTGTTTTGACCTCCTGACCAGCCTAACTGACATGATAGATATCTCTAAAATAATACATATCTCTAAAATAAATACATTGAAACCTAAGTACAAATAATACACAGACTAGAAAGACTTTAATCTCAGCACTCAGGAGGCAGAGGCAGGTGAGTTTGAGGCTAGCCTGGTCTACTTAGTAAGTTCCAGGCCAGACAGAGCTACACAATGAGCTGTCAAGAAACAAGCCAACAAGAAAAATCATTTATTCCGACTTACATAAAGTAACAGATTTACAACAGTCTCCACAGCTTTGTGTAAGTAAGAACCACTAACTACCTTGCTCAGGTGGAGATGAGTTAATAAGTTAGAGTGTATCACGTGATGGAATGTTACATAGTTGCTCTTTTGTAAAGATGATAAAGAATTTGTGTGTATGTGGTATGTATGCGTATGTGTGAGGATGTACACATCCATGTACACACACTCAAGAGGCCAGAGGAGGGTGTCATTCCCTACCATATTCTCTTGAGATAGGGTCTCTCATTGAACCCTGGGCTGTGTTGGCTGCCAGTAAACCCCAGCACTCCCTTCTCCCTCTGTCGCAGCACTAGGGTACCAGGAATGCATCAGTCCTAAAGAGTACTGAGACTGGCCGGGCGGTGGTGGCTCACGCCTTTAATCCCAGCACTTGAGAGGCAGAGGCAGGCGGATTTCTGAGTTCGAGGCTAGCCTGGTCTACAAAGTGAGTTTCAGGACAGCCGAGGCTACACAGAGAAACCCTGTCTTGAAAAAACAAAACAAAACAAACAAACAAACAAAAAGAGTACTGAGACCTGCTCATGCCTGAGCCGCAAGTGCTCTTACCCACAAAGCCATCCCTCCAGCCCCAAGAACCAGTCGGCAGGTATCCAGGGGCAGGGATGAATCTATAAAGTGCACCAAGCGTCAGTATACATTGGTAGATGCCCTGGAAACAGAAAGACCACTAGGACACCTTAAGAGGCAAGCAGGAGAACGTGTCAGCTGCCACTGTGGGATAAGAACATTGTTCATCTGAACATGTGCACGTCAGTAATCCCAGTGTCTAAGGATAAAGACTTCAAGACCAGTTCTGACTACGTAGCAAGCTTTAGGCCAACGTGGGCTACAAGAGACAGTTTCTCACAAAAAAAAAAAAAAAAAAAAAGCTTATATTACCTGTGCTTGGTGGAGATGTATTTCTCAAAGTAAACTTTTTATGTTTTAATTTTAAACCATATGGATATGAATCTCATGTTATTAAAGGAAATAAGGCAGGCAGGGGGTACAGCTCAGTTGGCCGCGTGCTTGCCTATCAGACATGGCGCCCTGGGCTCCTAACATCACACAACCCCGGCACGGTGGGGGCTGAGAGGGCTCAGCGGTGAAGAACTCCCGTATCAGACGGCTCGCAAACCACGTGTAAATCCAGCTCCCTGGGAGCTGGTGTCTCTGACCTTTGTACCTTGAAATTATTTTGTAATTAAAAACAAAATACACGCATGATGTTTCACACCTGTCATCCCAGAACTTGGGGAGTAGAGGCAGGAAGATCAGAAGTTCAAGGGTAACCATCATCATAGCAAATTCAAGGCCAACCTGGGCTATGTGAGAGTCTGTCTCAAAGAGGAAAACCTAAAACAAAACCCAAACCCAGACCAAACAAAACGCAGAAGGAAGCAGCCACAGAGCTGGGGACGCGGGTCCAGCAGCATGTCCAGCTCTGCGGTAGGGCACAAAGCTGTAGGTTTGACCCGCCCCCTGGGGACAGGGCTGAGGAGGACGGAAGTATACAGAGCCCTGCAGGCTCTTCAGGGCATTCTGTTCCCTTCCTGTGAACCCCACGGAGCATACACATAACATACAACATTCAAGGTCAGGGGAGAGGAGGAGGGGGAGGGGGAAGCCGTCAGAGTAGAGGTGACCACTGGGTATGGAGGAAGAAGGGAAACAGGCGATGATCACATGGTACAACTGCCACCCTCAGCCACCAGCCCGAGTCCTCCAGGAGACCATGATGCCAACCACTGAATTCAAAAGTGACAGATATTAGATTCAGAAGTGACAGATATTAGCAAGCTCTTCTCATACATTTTTCTCCACACTCCAGGTTATTTCAGGCCCAGTTCCCTGCTCCGGCCTCCTTTAAGGTCCTGCCCTTGCCTCCAGCCCTGCCACTCACCTGACCCGGTGTTGAGGGATGAGATTTAAAAGCTTCAGGGCCCAACCTTCTCTGATGGTTCCTCTTTGGGGAACCAGTTGCCTCTGTGTCTCAGCATATGCTGTGTGCCAACACATCCCCCATCCCCGTCTCGCAGCCTCCTCCACACTGAATTAGGTGGAGTCTTGAGCTTCTCACTGTCCCCTTAGCAACCGTGCTCTTCATATCCCAGGACCATCTCCACCTGTCCACATGCACGGCAAACTCCTAACCAACCTTCAAGACCCACTGTGGACGACTAAGACAGACATCGTGAATCCTAAACATAGAACTTCCATCACTGAATCTGAACCTCTGTTATCCACACCTACATCCTCCTCCAACGGCAACAACTCTGGGTGCTCGCTCGTGGCAGAATGACTGAGTCCTAGAAACTGACACCCACAAAGGAATGATAGGCTCTTGTGCTAAGAAGCTACAGTGTGGTGAGGAGGTACAGACACACAGCCTTGTCACTTGCCAGCGTGGCTTGGAGCTCAGGAGTACTCTGGCACATCTGAGGGAGGGAAGAGGTGTGAAAAGCAAGAGCCCATTCAGAGCATCCAGCGGAGTCTGGCAGGGAACTCGGCATCTGTCACTACAGCATTACGCTCGGGCTGATGTCACACAGCAAGACGGGATGACTGCCGCAGTGCTGAGGCGGGTGGGAACCGTTCCAGGTAAGGCGAGCGCCTGAAGGGTTGACCCATGCTAATCTAATGTGATTTCCTGTTATAGGAAGAAGGGTGCAGGTCCAGCAGGCAAGCCACACCCAGGTCCTGGTGTAGCCCTGAATTCATCTCAGCATTTCCTCCTGGCCATCCTCCAGCAGTATTGTGCCCCGCCCTCTTCTTTCCCTGGAAATAGTAACAACGAAAACAGTAACCTGCCTACACTCTGTCCCGCCCACCTATCCTTGGTCTTGTGCAATCCGGCTTCTGCCTGCTTGCGTGGCGGAAAACCTTCTCTCCACAAATCTCAGACCTGGAGTCAAATGGCCTTTGGGCCACATCCTTCTTGGCCCTCTGGTAATATCTATCATTGCTGGTGACACATTGGGCTTACAAATGTCTGTTCCCTTGGCTGGCTTCCTTCTGTTCCCACTGCCCGTCTAAACGTGGTTTCCTTTGTTTCACAGACATGAACCAAGATCGTATTTGCCAAGTGCCAGCCTGGCACACAGACAGAGCCAGTTCCTGCTTCCTGCCCTTCTCCCTCTGCTGGTTTCTCTTCCTGCTTCTTCTCCACAAGTAGCTGCCCCTCCCCTCTGCTTTGCCTTGTTGCTGTGAGATTGTGGGCGAAGGCTTTCTGAGCCCTGTCTTCCTGATACATAAAGGAGGTGCCAAGATAGTGATTTTGGCAAAAATGAGATGAGCTGGTGTACATAGTACCGACCATATAAGTATCTGATGAACAGGACCTGAATTTGCTATGATTACTATGCCAAGACATTCAACTACGGTTTGCCTCACAGCCTTACCTTTTCCCTGGACCTAGCTAGATGCATCTCAGCCTCAACGTGTCTGAAGCGGGGCTCTGCTTCTCAGGCTATCAGCTTCCCTCTACTGCCTCAGACTAGCTACACTCGGGCTTCTGTCTCTCCATATCCGTGACTGGGGAAGGCTTCTTAAACAGGTAGAAAGTTGAGAGGGGCGAGCCAGGCCCTGGGCCTGGACATCATGACCTGGAAGCCCTCCCCTTTCCAGGCTCAGGACAGCTTTCCCCAGCTTTGCAGGTGGCGGGGCTTGGGTGACGGGTAGGCAGGTGTGCCACACATTACTTCCCAGTGGAGGCCCTAAATGTCAAAGCAAAGCTCCTCCAAACTCTCTTGGCTCTGCCAATATGCCCAGTAACGTTCCAGAAAGATGCATTGTGCTGCAAAGAAAATCAGCCCATAATGCACAGCGAATTCATGTGCCTATGGAGGACTGCCGGTCACTGCACGGTTGAGTCTTTGCTGACTAGAGAGCCACACAGAACCTGATGCTGTAATGGGAAAGCTCAAAGTTATTCCGGGACAGGAAGGTGAGGACGAGCCATCGTGAATACAGTTCCTGGAATGTCCCGAGAGTCCTTGAAACTGCTGAAGTGATTACCCTGAAGTCCCTGAGGGAGACCAATAGGCAGTCCGAAGCCGAGATTTTGAACCCAGCATCTGGGTATTCCCCTGTCAGCAAACTCTCTCACTGTATTGACTTTAACTCTCTGCTTAGCATCTAACTTCCTAACTGTATGCACCAAGGCAGAAAGCACGGCCACTCTGTTGTCACCAGGGCCTAAAACAGGGACTGGAGTTTATTAGGTGCTCAGCACCACCATAGAATGAATGAATGAGTGAATGAATGAATGAACAAATGAACAAACAAACGAACATTCGAACGTAAACCAGGCACACTACATTTTCAGCGGTGGGAAGTCAAAGCCCATTAGAGCCTCTGACCCTCTAACTTGGAAGCTTGGCTTCCTTCCAGCAGATCAGACAACCCAGCTGTTGGAGCCCAGAGGGCCCCTCCCTGACTGGCCCAAGGGCAGCCTATGGTAACTCACCCACGTAATAGGAAAGGGTGCGCTTCAGCCGATCAAAGACAAACCAGCGCTTCTTCCACGATTTAATCTTGCCACCCATCTTGATCAGGTAGCCACGGCAGACCTGGTGGGGGGCAACGGTGAAGAAGTATGTGAACATGGAGGCCCTGAGCCTTCCTCTCCAAGAAGCTCCTTTAGTCTTCTTTAGCTACCACTGGTGGCATTTCCAGAGACTATCCCCAGCTGGCACTCAAGGTACTGAGACAGTCCTGACAATGCTGGGACAGACTGAGGTCAAATCCCAAGGCCCCGGGAGGAACATCTACATACGATCTGACTGTAACAAATGCCCTCACCCCCAAGCCACGCAGGTCTGGTACCTTGCTGCTAAGTACCACATGTAGACAGGTGTCCACCCCATGGCCTGATGACTCTATGTGGGTCTTCAAATCAAAGTCTTCCTTCCGGTTGGGAAGATAGCGTGTAAGAGGTCGTGCCTGGGGGAAAAGTCCAGGGACAGCAGAGTTATTTCTCTTTTCGCCTCATTCCCTTGTTCTTGTTCCTCTGCTTCAGTCCTGACCCTCCCACAATTTCACATCAACCCCTCTCGGCTCCTGCAGTGTTCACTGGATTCACAGGACTTGTGACCAGAGCGGAGACCTCGCACTCCTGACTCTCCTAGGCCCAGGTGAGATGCTGTCAGCTCCTTGTCTCAGTGTTCCCGCCTATGACTTTAACACGGCCATTGTCATCTTCTTGTCCCTCCTGACAGAACTGGCAGGAGGCCAGATGGGAACATGTTCTGGGAAAACCATGGGAGACCTGCGCTAAGGGGTGGGATACAGCTAGCGGGTAAGCACCTTCCCGGTGCTCTTGAGGCCCTGCATCAAAGACCAATAAACAGAGCTGGCAGGATGGCTCAGTGGGTAGAGGAGCCTGCTGCCAAGCCGGATGACCTGAATTTGATTCCTACGACCCATCTGATAGAAGACAGTCTGACAAGTTGTCCCCCAACCTCTAACCAGCCCCACCCCCATACACTAAATGCATAACACCATTAATAGAGGTGAGAGAGTCAGGGGAACCTCTTTTTAAAATAGAGATTTGCTCAGTGACTTAGGGTCACAGTCTTCTAGTTTCCTTCTATAGACTAGACAAACACTAAGAGTCCACTCTACCTCTGCTACTAATGAGAATTCTCCATGAACTGAAATTATTTTTCTACTCTTGCTTTTCCAGAAAGACCTTTAAAATGTCACATACTCTTACCAGGTCACACGTTAAACATAAAATGTACAGACACCTTGCAAAGAGATGCAAAGATGGCTTGACCCTGCTCCCTCTCATACCAGGACCAGGCCTCAAAGACGGAGGCTGGAGAAGGGAGTCTGAGGGGTGTCAGGAACTGGGACCAGAAAGACGAACAAGACCTCTGATAAAGATCAGACCACTGGCCGGGCGGTGGTGGCGCACGCCTTTAATCCCAGCACTTGGGAGGCAGAGGCAGGTGGATTTCTGAGTTCGAGGCCAGACTGGTCTACAGAGTGAGTTCCAGGATAGCCAGGGCTATACAGGGAAACCCTGTCTCGAAAAACAAAACAAAACAAAACAAAAAAAAAAAAAAAAAAAAAA